ACCCTGTGTGCTCCCTGCACCCCGTGACTCAGACAGACGCGATGCCAGACACCGGGAGAGGCCGATCCATCCTGGGGGCCCAGGCAGGGTGGTCAGCCACCCCCTGCCCCCGTGTTGGCAGTGGAATACGGAGGGACCCGGCCGGAGCCTCTCTCGGGGAGCGGGCTTGGGGGACGGGGTGGAATGGGGGCACGAGGTGGTGGGAGAATCCACCCCCCTCCCGTAGGCAGGGCCCTGGCGTTATCCCTCCTGGGGCGAACCCCAAAGCCTCAGAGAGGGGAAGGAGGCTAAAAAGAATCCGTCTCGGCTGCGGTTCTTTTTCAGGGGGTTCGGTCCAGAATCCCATGGAATTTGCCTGGATACAGATACACTTAGCAGGTGTCCCCAGTCAGAACGGGGGAATAGGGTCACCCTACGCCCAGCGCTGGGGAGAGAACCCCAGAATCCTGCCCCCCCCGGTCCCTACAGCTGGACTCCGCTCCCCTCCCAGAGCTGGGAGTCCTCGGCTGTAAGCCCCGAGGCAGCAGGCGATGTCGGGGGGCTCCGACCTACCTATGACATGAGCCGCTGGCTTCTCGGCGTTATGTTTCCGGTCTGCAAAGGAAACAAACCAACAAAGGCCCAGCTGTGAGATCCGCCCCGGGCTCGGCTCTCTGCCCCCAGCCAAGCGCCGGCCGAGCAGGGGGCCTGGCTCCCAACAGCCCAGAGCGGCTTCGAAATCGGGAGCCGGCTCTCGGTCGGTGCTTTGCGAGTGGAGCCCGGTGGAGCGGGAGCGGGGTCAGCGGCTGATACTGCCCCATTCATCTTCCCTCCCAACTTTGTGCCATTCCACCCTCATCCCGCGGGTCCCCCCCACTCTGTTACGCCCCGGTTCCATTTGCCCCTCGCTGTCCCCACCCTCCCTTTCCCCCGTCACCACTTCCTTCCACTCTCCCCCGCTGGGTCTCGCCTGCACTTTCCTCCGGACGGCTATTTCATTTCTCTGTTTCCTTTCGGTCTCGTTTCCGCCCCCCTCTGCTTCGCTTCGCTGCACCCAGCTCAGAAAAGTCTCCCCCCCCGGAAAGCTGTTGCGGGGGGGAAGGGGGGAAGGAGGGAGGAGATGCTTTTGGCAAACGTGCCATGGTGCCTGCGAGTGCAGCAAACTGTCTAGCACCTCGCCCCACCCCACTGTCCTCAGCTGGGTGGGGTGGGAACTGCTTCGCCGTGTGTCAGAGACCCCGTCCTGCTGGGGGCGAAAAGGAGATTTTCTCTGCGCCGGCTGCGTTTTTGCAGCAGAAGGGTCCAGGCCTGCCAGGAGGCCCGTGTGTTTCCCTTGTGGAGCTCGGCCAAACCGGTCCAATATTGACGCCCGCAGTGGCGGTGCAGCTTCCGTGGAGCTAGGCCAATTCGCACCAAGGTCGGGGCTACTCAAACCAGTAACTTCAACGGGGCAGGAACCGTCTTTTTGGTCCGTGTTTAAATTGTACAGCGCCTAGCGCAACAGGACCCTGGGGTCTGCCGGGGGCTCCTTGGTGCCAGTGTAATCCTCCTAATAGATAACGTACAGCACCTAGGACCCTGCAGTCCTGCTGGGCCATGACTAAAGCTGTCTGCACCGCAGCCAGGGCAGAACCCATAGTTCCTGCTCCCAAAGCCTCTCCAAAAGCTGAAGGAGAATCCCTGTTAGCAGTACGGGGACTATGAAAGGTAGACGAGCAGTTCTGGTACTGCCCAGCAGAGGGCGGTGGTGCTCATTCACCCTTGCCGCCTTGCCGCTGCGCTCTTGGGCAATATAACCAGCCCAGAAAGGCACGGAAGACACAGTGCTAAGGTAATGCCTTCAACCTCTCTCAGGAGGCCAGTTTCATCGTTCTCATCGCATGGAAGGAGAAACTGAGGCACAAAGCAGGTCACCCAGGGTATGTCTACACTACCCCACTTGTTCAAACTAGCGGGGTAGTGTAGACATACCCCCAGTGGCATAGTGGGGAATAGAAACCAGGTCACCATCGCATGCTCTATCCATTAGGTGCTACAGCCTGCAAATACTAGCAGCCAGTAACACTGTTACAAACTACTCCTGGAGCAGAATGTCACCCTGGATACTCGCTCTACAGTCCTAGATTCCCAGGCCAGAAGGGACCGGTTGGATTAGCTAAAGCCATAGAACTTCCCTGGATTAACTTCTGTTGGAACCAGAGCCCCTGTCACAATTTCCAGGGCTGGAGAACTGTAGCTCAAGGCTCTCTTGGCTCCATTACGCCAGAGTCACTCTGCAGGAGAAGTTTCCCTATCCCACCGCTGACACCAAGAGTATGTATTTATAAACCACCGACAGGCCCACAGACCCCAGTCTGAGAGTCCCCGAGGCTATGAATAAACTCTCACTAACCAACTCATTACAAATAACCCATTGCAATTCTCCGTGCTCACACACGTCTCTGTCCCTAGAGTGGAAAGGCTGATGTGACACTGTTAACCAGAGGAAATGGTGGGGGAGGGAGCAGAAAAGGGGGCTTTTGTTGTCAGATATTAGTCCCATCCCCTGTCCGAGTCACACCGGGCTTCAGGGAAATGCACTTCTGGGTACAGTCAGCGCATGAATTCAGAGCTAGGTCCCTGGCTGGTGTAAACAGGCATTGCTCCACCGGAGTCAACGGGGGCTCTGCCAATTGACACCATGAGTAGAAGTCTGAGCTGGGTAAAGGGGGCTCACAGTCGGCCCTGTGAGATTGTGGCTGTGTTAGGCTGGTTCATGCTCCTGGTCCAAACCCTCAGCTGGTGTGAACCCAATGGGGCGACTCTGATTTACAGGGATTCAACTCCCATTTATTCTTCGGCATGGATTTTCCAGCACCCCAGGTACCACTGGGTGCCTAGACTTCGGCGCCTTTGGGTGCGTCTACTCAGCAGCAAGGCTCAGAACCCGGGCCAAGTGATTTGGATTCGTGGCCCTGTGTAGCCATGTAGACATCTGGGCTTAGGCTGAACCCAGGTTCTGAGACCCAGCGAAGGGGAAGGTCCCAGAACCCCAAGTCCAGCTGGAGCCCAAAGGCCTACGCCGCAGAGAAACGGCTCTGAGCCCCGAGGGGCGGAGTCAGGTGGCAGGCGCCAGACACGGGGTTTAACAGCAGTGTAGACACGTCCTTTGTGGGGCCTGGTGGGAAAATCTGTCCCTCGCTGCAGGAACTGAGCTCTTACAACGTGGCCGGGGCTTGCAGCCGGGGGGTTGCTGAGACTGCTAAGGGGGAGCAAAGGGGGAAAGAGATTTACCTTGGATGGACTTCTCCGAGACCGGCCCCGCTTCTCCCTAGAATACAAAATACAAGTCAGCCAAAAAGAGGGCACCTGTGTGCTCATGCGCACACGCCCATGCACATACACATGCATACATCCACACACATGCACACCCACCCACACCTATGTGCATATAAACACACACATACACGCACACAGGCACACACATGCACACGTCACAGACACCCACGTGTACACACACACACACACACATGCGCACTCGCACGCTGCGCACACACGCATACACCCACATGCATGCACGCTCACATGCACTCACGCACACACATGCATGCACACATGCGCGCACACGTGCACGCGTGTGCACACATACACACGCACACACACACGCACACATGAATACACCCCACGCACACATGTGCACACGCACACCCATGCTCACCCATGTGCACACACACATGCATAGACACATGCACACACATACATGCACGCACACGGACACACACGCACATGCACACCCGTGCATGTGCACACACACCTCCCCCACACATGCACACACCCTGACGCTCACAGTCCTGACCCAACTCATATTTTACCCCACTGGTTTGAGTGGAATGCTGACGGAATCACACCTCTCCATGTAAGAACCACGGCGTGTCCCATCTCCCACTGGGCACCCGGACCGACCCAGCGGCCAAACTCCTCCTGCCAGAGTGGGCTGAAAATAACCCATCAGCATTGTTATTTCATTGGGTAACTGGCACCTTTTGACTAAACAGAAGGTGTTTTTTAGAGGAAAGGGCCTGATTTCCTTGAAAACTTTTAATTTCTCGTCAGCCTGCACTCTCCCTTCCCCCCGCAGCTCCCAAGCCTCCACCTTTTCAGCCACATCGGTTTGAGGTTTGGACTGCAAATGCCCAGCTGTTTGAAATCCCAGGAGTTTGGGGGTATTTTCAATAAAAAAGTCGACATTTTCAGTGCCCCCCCTCCCCGGACCCTATTTTCCAACTTGCTCAACTGCCCTGGGATTGGCTCAGGCCCAGGCAGGATCCGACCCCTGGCTAGGCAGGGTGGGCAGCCCGACTTCCTTGAGTCAGCCCCTCACCGTGGCTGCCCGGCTGGAGACGCAGGGGGCCTGATGCGGTGAGGTGCCGGAGGGGGCCTTGCCGACGTGGGCCCCGCCCTTCAGCGCTGTTGAGAGACCAAAGGCCAGTGTCTCTGAGGGTGGAAATGCCGTTGCGTAACTAACCCTTTGGGGGTGCCGAGAGGGATCGGAACGGGAGACAGGAGAGCAGCTGATCCCAGCTGGCCTGCGGGGCGGTAACTTTCCAGCCGCTTGGCCGTCTCCTGGGAGGCAGCTCTTGGAAGTTGGACCCAAAGTCAGGGCCCCCCTCAGCCTGCTCGCCCGCAGCCCCGCCAGAGCCGGGCTGGCAGCGGGCGTCCCAGCTGCGTGCCCCAGTGGGGAACCCGGCCTCACCCCACGTGGTTTGCCAGCACTTGGAGCTGAGTCATGTTCTCACTCGGCTTGGGAGGGCAACACGCTCCAGGCCGGCCCCCGCCAGGATCCCGCCCCAGTTTCCACTTCCCACGTAGCCCCGGCTCGGGGGGGGGGTAAAAGGGCCCCCCCCCCAAAGGAACTGCCCCTTCCCTAGCCATCCTGGCTCGCTCCCCTGGCCTGCCCCAGGCATCGCTCTGGGTGGATGTAGATTTCTGCAGGGGTCTTTGGGCTAGTTGAAGGTGGGGCTTGGGGGGGAAGGAAGACCCCTGGGAGGTGTCCCTATTTGAGAGATGGGAAACTGAGGCACAGAGCGGTTAAGTGACTTGCCCAAGGTCACCCATCCAGCCCGGAGCAGGAATATGCCACAGGAATATTTGCCACCCACCGCGTGCCTCGAAATGTGTCTCGTGTTATAAAGTGTGCGCAGCCCCCCGAGAGCGCACAGACACAAGAGTACACACCGAGCTCCCATCTCACTTGCACACCTGTTGTCAGAACCAGACAGTGCCCTGGCAGAGCACACAAACACACCCGGGCTCAGCTCGCAAAGACACACCAACACACAATGCCAGCCCTGATTCAACACACACCGTACTACTCAGGCTAACACAACCGTACTACTCAGGCTGCACACAGCCCCATCACAACACCCCACCCAGCAAACCGGCGTCAACACACGCACAAGTCTCCGCTAACACAAACCTGTGCCGTGACATACTAGCAGCCATGAGTCCATCCCAAATCCCGCAGTCCTGTCGCAGTGCGCATACACACATGTGCGCACTACGTACACAACACACAACTCCACCTTAACACACATTGTGCCATACTGCTGCCACACACGCAGTTCCACCCAAAGTCTCTCCAGCACACAGGCACAGCCCAGACACCATGGGTCACCACACACACACCCACACCCACACCCACACCCACACACACACACACACAGAGCGAGATTCCAGCACACAGGCATGGCCCAGGCACCATGGGTCACCACATCCGCCCCCACCCCCGATTCCAGCAAACAGGCACTCCCCAGACATGATGTGTCACTTCACCCTCCCACCCCCCCGTGGAAATCAATTCCAGCACACAAACACTCCCCAGACACTGTCACTCCAGCTTGATTCTAGCACACAGGCACTCCCCAGACATTACAGCTCACTCCACCCCCTACCCCCACCCCCGATTCCAGCACACACATTCCCCAGACACTGTGTAACTCCACACACACAAACCAATTCCAGCACACAAAAACTCCGCACACAGTGTGTCACTACACACACACACACACACACACGGAAACCAATTCCAGCACACACACATTCCCCAGACACCGTGTCACTTCACACACACACAGCTCACTCCACCCCCTACCCCCACCCCCGATTCCAGCACACACATTCCCCAGACACTGTGTAACTCCACACACACAAACCAATTCCAGCACACAAAAACTCCGCACACAGTGTGTCACTACACACACACACACACACACACGGAAACCAATTCCAGCACACACACATTCCCCAGACACCGTGTCACTTCACACACACACACACACACACACACACACACACACACACACCAATTCCAGCACACAAACACTCTCTAGGCACTGTGTCACTCCACACACACGGAAACCAATTCCAGAATACAAACACTCCCCAGACACACACACAGCCTGAGTCCAGCACACACACACACGCGCGCGCGCATACACACACACACATGTGCGCGCATACACACACACACACACGCACGCGCGCGCATACACACACACACACACACACATGCGCTAGCTAGCTCACTTCCCCATTACAGCATCCACACATGCACACACACAGCTCCATGCCCCGGCGCCCCCTCCCCCCGGCCCACGCTGGGACTCCTGCCTCCTGCGCCCCCTTCCCGGTCACTCACCCCAACCTGGGAGGCCGCCTTGGCCAGCTCCCTCTGGAAGCGGAAGAGGAAATAGCCTTCGGTGGCCACGCCAGCCAGGGCCAGGCTGACCAGTGCGGCCAAGAAGACCTGGCCGTGCCGGCACGCCCGCCGCCGGCCCCGCATGGGCGGCACGAAGGGCACCCCGTGCTGCTGGCTGTCCACCACGAAGACGGAGGGGTACACCACCCCCTCGCCCATGCTCGCTCTTGCCGGGGCAGCGCAAGGGCCACGGGCGGGACTCGCGGGCGCGACGACGGAGCCAGTGGCAGACGCGATGCTGGCCCGAGTGAGAGCAGGACTGATCCCGCCCTCCGTGGCTGGGGTTATGTATCAGAGCCTGTGACGCCCACAGCCCCGGAGAGGAAACCACACTCTTACCCAACTGGCCTCCATGGCCGTACACTTCTCTCCCGCTTGGCTGGGTGGGGCTACCCTGCCAGAAGCCACGCCCCCTTTGCCCGCCCCCCCACCTCCTCCCCGCAGGAGCATGTGTCTCGCTGCGAGAGGCAGCCACGGGCCAGCGTGTGGTAGGAGAAAGGGACATCTGGGGGGATTTCCCAAAAGGCTCCTTCCTTCCAGAGCATCACTAGAGATCACCATCAGCGGCCTCCGTCATTGGGGGGGCAAACCGAGGGCCAGTGTTCCCTGTCAGCTGGGCGCTTGGGCTGCCCAGCTGATTAGGCGAGGGGGGTGGGAGGGAGCAAAGGAGGCGTGGTTTCTGGCCGGGTAGCCCCACCCAGGCAAGCGGGAGAAAAGCGTCCGGACATGGAGACCCATTGGGGAAGAGTGTGGTTTCTGCTGGGGGCGCCCATGCCTTGGTGCACATAAAAAAAAATTATTCCACACAAGGGTGGAAATGATCAGAGGGAGCCTGGCCTCAGCGTGCACCACCCGGCCCCCTGCCACTTGAAGTGAAGCAGCAGCTCCTGGACGCTTTAGTTGCGAGGGTCAATGCCAAGACCCTGCCGGAAGGGCGGGAGGTTGGTGTGTACAGGGCTCAGGGCAGGCAGCTGGAAGGTTTGGGGAGGGAGTGCAGGGTTCACAGCAGGAGGTGGGGGGCTCAGGGCAAAGGGTGGTGCCGTTTGGGCAGGGGGGCTCACCAGAGCTCCCCGTGGCAAAGAGAACAGCGCTGCAGCTGCCAGCCCATCCTGGACAGGGGGCTGGGGGCTTTGCAGCCAGCCCTGGCATGGACTGCTGGTCAGTGGGCCCCCCCGTCCGGCACTGGGGTCAAGGGCTGGAGGGGAGGAATTTGGGGTGTTTATGGCCCACAACATGGACAAATCTGACCCCGACTGGCCACTCTCTGCTGCCCCCTGCTGGTCCCTCTGAACTCTCGACCACCCGTTCAGCCCCAAGCCCCACCCCCATTCCACCTCTTCCCCCCCCAGGCTCCAGCTCACCCCACTTCTGCCCTGCCTCCTCCTCTCTGATTAGCTTCAAGTCTCTCAAGTCTTCTTCTCTGAAACCCTCTTGGTGACTGTCTGGACATTCCTGAGGGTTTTCACCCGCATCCTCCACTCACCCCGAAATTTTACAGAGAATGTCCTGGTAAACAATCCGTTTCCGACAGGATTACACAGTTTCTTCATGGTTTGTTGCCTAAACCTGCCTTTTGTCCACAAACGAGTGAGAGCGTTTACATTCTAATGGGGCTTTTGTTGGGGATAGGGGTGGGATGACACAGTTTTGGCAACAAAAAACTTCCAGCCCTGTGAGAGATTTTTGTCTTTTCCCCTCCCTTGATGGTTGATGAAGAGCCAGGGTGGACTCTGCTGCTTGTTTTGTGGAGAGAACCGACTTCCACCAGTAGCCCACAAGGCCTGCCCTGATGGCTCTGCTCAGTGTGTTCTGATCTCTGCTGCCCTGCAAGCATGTGCCCCTCCCTTTTCAAAGCTCCAGGACGTGTCTGACAGCTGAGGGAGCTGCTCCGTTTGGAGAACAAACCAAAAACATCTGAATGCTTCTGTCTTGCTGGTGCAGGGGGAGGCTGTGCTGCTTTGACAGTCCTCAGCACGGAGAGCGCCCAGGGAATCCCTAGAGGCGCAGGGATCAGCTTTGCCCTCCCACTACACTGCACTGTGGGATGCTTACCCACAATGCTTTGCTCTCTCTGTCCATAGTGGAGCCAGCCATGTGGCCATGAAATGTCGACAATGGGAGGTAGAAAAACCAGTTTGACCGTTTTCCACTTTTAGCGATTTTTGCCAATCGACAGCACGTTTGTTGCCTTCCCCGTGTAGACGGAGCCCGATTCTGCAATGCAGACACTGTCTAATCACGGGAGGCCGGGTGACACCAAAGCCTACGGAACTTATTAGCAAATCAGTATTTTGGACGTGTTATCGTAACACTTCTATTCTTATACCAGCCCTAAAATACTTTGGGCTGCAATAGGATGGTACTGCATCAATGCCCAATTCATGCCCCACAGGGTTGTGGAGCCAGCTGCCATGCAATCCCAGTGCGCCCCCTCCCCCCAATCTAGGGTCCCTCTCATTTCCCCATCCATGTGCGGAATAAATTTTGTTTGATGCAGTGAGGCATGTGCAGATGGGCACCACCAATGGAAACACCTGCTGCCAGCTGTGGGCGCTGTGCTAATCAGCTGGGCATCATTGGAATGGCCCAGCTAACAGGGAACCCCGATCCCCATAAGCTGCCCGGGCTAGTCTTTTACACTGAAACAGTTCGGAGTTCAGCGGGCAAACGCAGGTGAAGAAACTGATCCAAGGGGAGGTGTTCTCACTTGGCGTTGACTACACAGGAGTACCGCCGTCAGCTGGGCCAAGCTGCAAGCATGGACCAAGCCGGCTCCAGCCACCTTAGTGGGTTGGGCAGGATTCCCTGCTGCGAAAGCCAGGAGGGGTGTGTCTACACAGCAAAGTTATTTCGGCATAACAATGCGAGTGTCTACACAGCAATAGCGTTACTCCGAAATAAATCAAGATAGCACATCTACATTAGGGGATCCTGCCTCAGACTTCTTTTGAGGCTTCCCTGCAGTGCAGACGTGCTATTTCGAAATAAGCTGTCTCAGAATAACTCTTCCGGAAACAGCTTATTCCGAAATAACTGTGCAGTGCAGACGTAGCCGAGGAACCACATGAATCAATTGCACCTTCTGAATAGGAAAGACCCGAATAATCCCAGGTGGGAATTGAACCGGTAGGCTAGGGATGGCAGGCTCAGAAGCCTGCCTGCTCCCTAAGGCTACCAAAAGACAGGAGCTATGTCTACACTGCAGAGTTGTGGTGCAAAAACTCGCGGCGCGTCCACACCTCAAGCACGTTTTTGCACAAGAAAATGGGCAGTGAATCAACAGAGCAAATTGCGGGATAGGTATTCCTCTTTCTGCACGGAATAACTCCTTTTGGCACAAGAGTTATCGCACAAAAAGGTGTGTGTGGACGGGAAACGGGGTTTTTTTGCGCAAAGACAGCCTATTGGAAGACACACATTCTGTGAATGGCAATCAGAGCTTTCTTGCGAGAGCGCGCCCATGCCGTCCGGACGCTCTCTTGCACCAAAGCGCATCACTTTTCCGGTGCGCTTTTGCAGTGTGGACGCACTCTTGCACAAGAAGCCTGCAGTGTAGACATAGCCAGGCAGGGCAGCTGCATTGGCGTCTCGCATAAGCCTGGCTGGGGGAGTCCAGCTAGCGCGGCCCCCTCTGTAACAACCGGCTGGCGGTCCTGCCGGAGTCAGTTCTGTACGGCAGCTCAACGCTTCCTCTTTCACACCCATGGGCACTTCCTCCCCAGCCTCCAGAGCCCTGTTATCTCAACAGGATCGGTGGTGCTGGGAAGCTAATTATCCACTTTCTCATCAGCAGGTCTCTCCGCCTTCCCCACCGTGGCAGGAGCTCTGGAGCTTCGGGCTGGGCCTGACTCATCCCCTGGGCCGTCCTGGGTGGGCGCTGAGCAGCGTGAATGGGACTGGAATTCCCCATACAGAGGTGAGAAAGCTGTGGATTTTTCACCGAGGTCAAAACAAAACAAAACAAAAACCCCAAGGGTCTTCTTCAAACTCTCAGTGAGGACCCTGTGATCTTGTGTCGCGTCTTGATGGTTGCCAGGAATTGAAGGGAAGCTTCCCGGAAGCTACGAGCAGTTTGAGAAAACCCGCTGCGCCAGCCTCCCTCCCCCTACAGCAGGAACGCTGCCCCCTTCCTACAGCACACGCCCTGAGGAACCCCCAAAGTCGTCTCGCTAGAAGGCAGCAACATGAAACCACTGGACGTGTGTGACGGCGCATCGGGGACCCCCCCCGATCCTGCACCCCCGGAGCAGCAAGATGAGACTCCGCCAGCCAGTAGAACAGAGATGGCGTATTGCGTCTCCAGGATACAGCACGCCCGGGCAGCCTCAGACCCCTTGGGGTAGGGGTCCACCGCCCCCCCTCAACCCCCAGTACTTAGCTTAATCTCTTCTCTCCATGTTTTTCCAGACCAGACTGCCCAGCTCCCAGGCCCTGCCCCCCAGCCAGGTGGCCGTTCCGCCTCCCTCCCTTTGTCTCTCCCTCAGGGAAGAGCCTTGTTCTCTGCTCAGGACTAGGTGCCTGGGCCAATGCACACGTGGGTGAGTCTGTGGGAACCACACAGCACAGCGTAGGGGAACCCCGGGTTACAGAGCAGACAGCCCCCCCACTACGTCCCAACGTATCCGAAGCGCTTCGGCGCCGGAGCCACATGCCAGAGAGAGATGGAGCAGATCCTGCGGACTCCCAAGGAGCCCCGGGAAACCCCTTCCACGCAGAGAGTGACAGTGTGGCGTTTGAACACCGTTTTCATGACACCACGTGGTAGCGAAACCGCTTGCAAGAGGAGGCTGCAGAGCCGGGCCTCATCACCACGGCGTAACCTCAAGCCGGTAGCAAGATGACTCCACACACCTGGCCGTTCTTCTGCGGGCTGGATGTGTTGATTCAGTCCTTCCATCGCCCGGGCCTCGGGGAAGAAGGCTATCCCAGCCTGCACTGCAGCAGGCGGGAAAAGAGCCGCTGTACCGTATGGGAAAGCAGCCCGAATTTCCCATGCATCAGAGACAAAGGCAGTGAACCCCCCCGCCACCAAAGCCACTGAGGTTTCTCAGCGCTCATCCGTGACACTTGTTTATCCCCTGACGTGACGGAAGGTTTTGTTTCACTGTGCTTTGCCACACTGACCAGATACACCCCCCGCGCCTTTTCTCCCCCCTCGCCAGAGCTAGGTTGATGCCCTTCCTGCCCCCGCCCAACAGAGAGCTGCAGATGAGCGGCTCTGCATCCACCTGCGGCT